AAAAAAGTTTATGGTTAGATTCTCATGTTTCGCTCACAATAACGCTAGGGTTAGGGATGGGTTGTGATTACGGTCAAGATCAAAGATATATATTTGTGACAGAAACAAGGATTTATTCATATTTACAATAATGACGTCACAACGATTAAATTAGTGTTGAGCTTACTGCCAGTTACGGTGGGTTAGGAGCTCACGAGATTGTATTTAAACTGGGGTGCGTTGTTAATTTGGGAAGATGAGGCCGTTTTTTATATATCGTCAAATTGAGGAGCAAGTCAGCATTTATACTACTGATAAGTATACTAGTTTTAGTTATATGATCGTCATAAGTTGAATGACAGTCAAGAGTGACTCACCCAAGTCACTGGCCGAAATACCAGGTTTCAAAATCTCACCAAGAGGGGATAGCGACATCTCAACCGGTAACCTGAGAAGAAGTTGTCAAGTGTCAATGAGCATAAATTCGGGGGTTTTGGATTGACTAATAGCGTGTTCTCGCAGCACCATTTCGTTATTCCAGAAAGATCGTCTTGAGGAATAGTAGAGGTGAGGGAATGGCTCTCTGTGGTACTCCATGTGTGATAGGGAGAGAAGGAGGAATGAGCCAATACGTACGATCTGAGTTTTGTCCGATAAATAGCTTTGAAACCATTTTACAGTGGCAGGAGAAGCGGCCTATCTTGCTCAGTTTACGTAATAAAATAAGATGGTCTATACTGTCAAACGCTTTAGAGGGATCCATTAAAATGAGAGTAGATAACATTTTCTTATCCATCGCTGCAAGGATTGCGTCAGTAACTGCGATATTCAGTGTCTCAGTAGAGTACATGGTGTTTTTATTTTCAGTCTGATTAGGTGTCAATTTTCTTGTTGTTCTTAAATATTCACCGAATTGATTTGAAGCAATTTTTTCGCATACAACTAACAGTGGCAGGGGACGATTATTGCTTGCTATTTCATGACCGCCTTCCTTCTGTAACGGGATTAAGATTGATTTCTTCCAGGCATCATGGAATATTAAGTAGTGAGAGAACAATTAATCACATCCAGGGACGTAGCAAAACAACTAAAGTTGGGGGGAGGGTGTCGAAGGATTTTACCTGAAATTTGAATTTCAATGTTAAAATTTACCTGAAGTGTAATAATTATAATAAAGCTTTTTGTGATTGATTTGCACTAAGTTTCAGGAGAAGCTCTAGGACTGCATTTCTGGCGTTTTCTAAAGCAAATTCGAAACAAATTGCATGTAAATCGACTGTATTTTACAAAAATGATTAGCATTTCACAAAAATAATTACGTTATTACGCAAATTTTTACATGAAAATGTTTTACAGTTGGGGAAGGGTGGTACACCCCACACACATTCCACCCAGTTGTTACGTCCCAGATCACATCAGTCAAGGCTGGAAGAATAATAGGCAAACTATTTTTAACGACTTGCATTGATGTCACGTCAATACCTGGCTATTTATTAGATGGCATGAACAAAGCTATTTTCTGAACATCGTAACAAGAAACCCTTCGGAAGTTAAACTGTTCTCCATCTGGACATTGATATTAGAAATCATCCCATTTCCAAAATGGGCTGTTCTAAATATAATATGGCTATTTCTAAAATTAAGTGAGCAGTTCCAAAATTATATATTAGTATTATACTAGTCTGCAGCAAAAACGTTTAATTAACTAAAATCAAATTCCACTTTGAAAACACAGGAAATAGCAATGGACCAATTCCCTAATGAACAAAATTTTGATCTAGGCAAGTCAATGTAGTGACTACGTCTCTATGACGTCACGGACATGATACGTCACTAGGACATAGGACTCATGAGCACGAGATGTGCTCGGACAAGAGATCAGTTTTGGAGATTGTGAGCGAAGTAGTTCGTATTAAATATTATAGTTAGACAATAAAAGATAAAACACAACATTGGCGACGAGGATGGCCACTTCAAGTGGGTCTATGGTATAACTCATGCCACCTTTTGATCCGGACAGCGAAATTGGAACAAATCTCGCTCCAAAATGGAAGATATGGATAGAAGATTTTCAGATGTATCTAGTCGCAACGGGCATAACTGACAAGAAACGACAACGTGCTTTGCTTTTGTATCAAGCTGGCGCACGGGTTCGTGAAATATTTCGCCAGCTCCCGGACACTGGGGATGATTTGGAAACAGCAGTGGCAAAGTTGAACGAATACTTTGAACCCCAAAAGCATCGCCTTTATGAGGTATACAAATTTCGCCAAGCCGCTCAAGAGAACAATTAATCCATTGATCAATACCACACTCGGTTGCGAAGCTTAGCAGAAGGATGCCAGTTTGAGAATATGGACTTTGACATTATGCTACAAATTGTCCTAAAAGGATCATCAAGCCGACTTCGAAAGCAAGCGTTACGGGACCCTAAAATGACGCTCAAAGATTTACTGATCGCCGGCAGGCAGATAGAAATGAGTAACTTTCAAGTGGCCGACATTGAACAAAAACAATTCGAACGGCAGGAACTACACGCTCTACGGAAAAACACGCGTCAACAGCCTTCCAAAGGCACTTGTCGAAATTGTGGCGGCGAATGGCCACACGAGAAGGGCAATTGTTCTGCTCGGGGGAAAGAATGCAGAAAGTGTGGCAAGCTAAATCACTTCGCCAGACAATGTCGTTCGTCGAAACCCGACAACGAAGTACCGAATCATTATCCAGAGAGTAATCGCCGGGGTAACAAGATCCGACCGGTTGTTGGCCCTCCGGATAATCAAAGTGAATCCAGTTCAAGT